CTTACTTTCAGAAAGTAATCGAACACTACTCTGTATATATATAGGGTTATCACTTCGAATCGCCATAGAAGAATTGATAAATTCACTTCGAATTTCAGGGATCCATCAATGGCTTTACTGGGGTGAGTGGCGGCGACACTGAAACTCTTCAACCTCTCCATCTTTGTGACATTGGGTTTGGATTTGTTGGTTTATTCAAACTCGTAATGCAATATTATTGAGTAACTAAAGTATAAAGATATATATATAAATAGATTGTATCCATACAACATGGATATATGATTGTGAAAATATTAGAAAGATTGGGCAACAAACCATTTACGGTTAAGATGATTCAACTCATCAGATGACATTCTAATCCTAACTCGTATTTTAAGTAGCAAAGGTGAAACGTAATTAAATAATGGGTTGTATTTGGGAGTTCCACCATGGGTGCTTTAAAATTGAAATTAGAAAAAGTCATTTTAAAGTTTGAATTAATTTTTTTATTTATTTTAAAATTTTAATTTTGAGGTACATTTCAGTTCTCCCAATCACAATTTATGCATTGTTCTATGACTTACATATTCAACAACTTTTTATTGAATTTGAAACTATATTGTCACGATGAATGTGTGATTACAATGACAATTTTGATGACAATTCACCTCTCAAATATTCTATTTGTGACTTAGGTAACGGTCACTTATTGGTTTGTTGGATGGATGTATTTACACCACTAAATATCATTTATTTTTCAAAAACATTCTTCTTCTTCTTCTTCCATTTATTTATTTATTTATTTTATTTATTTTTTTTTTTGGAGTCTTTTTTGGTCTGCTTAGCAGTAGCCAATAACAAGAAAAATGTTTAAATTTGGTATGCCTGCAATAATTTAAACCTTACATCTCAGGATTTTACCTGGTGAAACCTCTCCACTAGAGGTTTGGGAAAGCCTAAATTTATACGAAAATTTAAATCCATATAAACTTTGGAAAATTATATACTACCTCAAGAGGTTTGTAAATAAATGGACTGAGTTTAACATGTATTCTCTGGCATTGCAAATTATTGACCAGAAATTAATTAACCTTTAGTGTGCTTGAGCCTCCCTAAATAAACAACTATGATAATTTTTTTTTTTTTTTTTTAAAGAAAGTATTTGTTTGATTAAATAAGAGACAAGTGCAAAATTCAAAGAACAGATTGACATTCCACCCGTATAGCTCTCTGAATCTTCTAATGTTTGACTAAACAACATTAATTACTATTTCTAAGCAAATGTTACACTAATTAACATCATTACCAAAGAACATAAATGGAAAATTAATAATCTATTATGATAGAAGGAAGTCTATTAATCAATATGTTTGACTAAATATGGATGGATTTAGGCGCACAATAACTCCTGCCAAATTTCCATGTGAATATATATATATAATAGATGGAGAAGCTGATCATAGTTTATAGTAGAAGAGATTCAAAGGTTGTTTTAATATCCTCCAACATCTCAAATCCAACTATTAAACCACTAGTTCATGAAATATGTGGGGAATCAAAAGATCCATTTTGGATGAATTTTCACAAAATAATACAAAAATGACAATGTTGTAAATTTGTAGGCGTGAATAACAAATTAATATGACAATTTACCAAGAATGAAATATAATGCGACTATGACCATTTGATTCAACCTAATTTATATATATTTTTTAATAAGAAAAAGGTCAAATGGTACGAAAAATTTAGAAAACTACACTAACCATTCATCTTTCTCTAATGACTTTTTCAGTACCTTTTAGGGTGTGACAAATTTTGAGACGAAAGCATGTGTCCAGAAAATGGTAATATATATTCAAATTCAAACAAATTAAACGTAATTCATAATTAATTTTTTTTTTTTTTTAAAAAAAAGACAAAAAAATTTGCATATTGGAACTAGAACGAAAAAAATAAATAAAATATTGAATTTCAGTAAACTTCTAAAATAATGGTAAAACATGTAACAAATGGTTAGAAAAGTGGTAGTAATGGATTTGAAATTAGACTAGGAGCCCAGATATTCCAAACTGGATCCAAAATCTCTTCGATTACAAGCTTTCTAGCTCTATTGATGGTCATAAAACACACTAAAAATGCTCTTCCAACTCATCAAAGCAAGTGCAAAATCATCTTGTCTCATAGTGACGGGTTTCATCGGATGTCAAATAAGTGATTAAGTCAATTAAAAAAATTAAATAACTAAATTTTTCACCAGAGCAAATTCGAAAAAAAATAATAAAATGAAACAAAAGAAGGGATAGATAAGAAAATTTGGCATATTGAACTAGAATAAATATATATATATATATATTGGATTTCAATGCACTTCTAAAATAATGGTAACACTTGTTAATAAATGGTTAGGAAGGTGGTGGTAATTGTTTTGAATTTAGATTAGGAGCCAATATATTCCAACTAGGATCCAAATGATCATACTTGGTGCAGCCACTAGCATTGCTACACTTGTCGTAGAAGTCTTACTTTTGAAATATTTTTATTATTATTTAAGTTCTAAAGTACTAAATCTTACCTTTTTACCCTTACTAAATTACATATAGTTTTACTACATTAGATATAAAATTTAGATTCAAAATTTCATATATACTCTTACAAATTTTGAAATAAAATTTGAATAAAAAAAATACATGTTAATCATTTTCTTTAATAGAAAAATTAATTTTATTTATTTTTTACTAAAATCGTGTATTCTACAGAGTAGTGTTTGAATTTAATTTAATTTCATTTAGATTAATTATTATTTGAACTCGTAATTCTTCAAACTCGTAATGCAATATTATTGACCAACTAAAATGTAAAGATATATTTAAATATATTATATATAGATAGATTGTATCCATGCAACATGAATATATGATTGTGAAAAGATTAGAAGGATTGGGCAACAAACCATTTAGGGTAAGACGGTTCATTACAGAAGGATTCATTTGATAACATCCTAATGCTAACTCATATTTTATCAAGTGGCAAAGGTGAAACGTAATTGAATAATGGGTTGTATTTGGGAGTAGGGGTGCTTTAAAATTGAAATTGGAAAAAGGTGATTTTAAAGTTTGAATTAATTTTTTAATTTATTTTAAAATTTTAATTCTAAGATACCGTTTCAATTCTCCCAATCACAATCTATATGAAAATTTAAATCCATATAACCTTTGGATTTTGTAACATCTTAAGAGGTTTGTAAATAAATGGACTGAGTTTGTGTTCATGCTTATGTGCCATTCATTCTGGCATTGCAAATTATTGACCAGAAATTAACCTTTAGTGTTCTTGAGCATACTGGGAGTTTCGGGTTTAACACCAATATTTTAGCAATAAATCCAATAAATCTTAGCGTAGTGCTTCGTGTATTGATTTTTTTGGAAAGGAAGTGTATGCGAATTATTTATTTTAAGAATAGGCTGGATCTGCTGTACTTTTTCGTTATAACTAAGAAATATATGTGCATGATCTCGCGACTTACGTCTGCATAAATAAACAACTATGATAATTTATGAATAAATTTTTTTGAAAGAAAGTATTTGTTTGATTGAATAAGAGACAAATGCAAAATTCAATTGAACTCTGTGTAATTTTGTATTTTAATTTTATAAAAAGTACAGGTAAGATTGACATTTTCAAATATTTACATTCTCATTCACATTGTTTTACTTTTGGTAACCACCTAACCATCATAGCCGTGGCAAATAGATTTTATATTGTTCTAATTTTAGAAAATATTGTTGGCTCTTGCTCTAGTACCACTCTTAAAAATAGTGGTTTAGATACACCCATATCACTCAATACAATATTTGTAAGAGAATAAAATGGAAGAAATATTTTTATTTCACTTAATTCCAACTTATTCTCCTATACCAAACCATTGGTAGAGTATATGAATATATAAAAAGGTCTTAAGAACATATATTTATCAATTACATATAAATACCTAAAACTCTCATTTCTCCCATTAACATAAATTTTAATAGGCATAACTCCCATTAATATAATATTTAGTGAATATAACTCCTACTAACATATTATTTAGTGGACATATATAACTCCCTTGCTTGTCGATTTTATGTGACCTTCAACCTCACACTAATTCCCATGAACACAATTTACTACCACATTTACTACCACTAACATGTAACGAAATGCACACATACACCATGCATGTAAAATAGTTAAAAAATACTTGAATAACAAAATACACCATGTTTAGATAATATGGTACTCGGAGCTACGAATCCTGTTGAGAACATTCCAATCGTATACCTTTCAAAATCTTCTGATGTTCATTAATTACCATTTCTAAGAAAATGTTACACCAGACATCATTACCAAGGAATGAAAAAAATAAAATAAAATAGTTCTCTTAGTGGAAGATACATCATAGAAGCTAAATTAGTCCATTAGTGACCATCTTTGACTAAATGAGTGGATTGTTGTGTAGTTCTCAATTTAATTTTATGGGTCACAAAGTCGTACAACATTTTCATGCGAATACACGTAGACAGAGGTCTCAAATCTAACTCTTTGTAAATGGACTTGATTTCATTTTGATATTAAGATTTACTTCATAACATTTTAAATCATTAGTTCATAAAATATGTGTGGAATGAAATGGTCCATTTTGGATGAATTTTCACAAAATAACACAAAAATGACCATGTTGTAAACTTGTAGGCATGAATAACAAATTAATATGACAATTCATCAAGAATGAACTATAATGCAACTATGACCATCTGATTCAACCAAATTTATATATATTTTTTAATATGAAAAAGGTCAGATGGTATGTACAATTTAGAAAACTATACTAACCATTCACCCTTCTCTAATGACTTTTTCGATTCCTTTTGGGGTGTAACAAATCTCGAAATACAAACACACATCTAGAAAATGGCAATGCATATTTAAATTCGAACACATTAAAAGTAATTCATAATTTATTTTTTTCAAAAAAAATTTGCATATTGGAATTAGAATTAAAAAAGTAAATAAAATATTGGATTTCAGTACACTTCTAAAATAATGGTAGAACATGTAACATATGGTTAGGAAGGTGATAGTAATGGTTTTGAAATTAGACTAGGAGCCCAGAGATTCCAACCTGGATCCAAAATCTCTTGCATTACAAGGTTTCTAGCTCTATTGATGGTCATAAAACACAAGTACAAATGCTCTTCCAACTCATCAACCAGTTCTCTAAAGCTTGCGTCATCCATTTTCAGCTGGCGCGCCACTTCTCCGCTGGCTTGGAACCGGTCTTCTCCCCGCTTAAGCCAAAATCTAACCGTGGCTCGCATATGCTCCAGCTCATCATTTAGCCGAGCCACGAGCCGACCTATCATGTCCAAGTCTCTATTCAATATGTAAGTCCCTTTTGCGGCTGTATCAAGCTGAGCTGACAGCCTAGCTAGCTTCCTTGTCGAAACCAGCCTAGCTACCATAATACTTGGAGCAGCAACAAGCATTGCTAAACCATGACCTAGGGCAACTACTGTTAATGAAGCTGTTAAAGCCACAAGAAAAATAGCCAAGCCATGTTTCACCATTTTCTTTATCCGGAGTTTGGCTCGAACTTTGTCACGGCTTGATTCAAGCCGCTTGATCAATTCGGAGCAAGTGTCTTGTACGGCTTGAAAGCAACGCGGAGATGAAGCCGTTGGGACAATTGGGTTGAAGGAGTTGGAGAATTTGGTTAGACGGGTTAGAACTTTGGGCAAATGAGTTATGGACGAGACTCGAACGGTTTCAAGGGATTCTAAAATGCTTCTGATAGATCGATATTTGACACGTGTATGATCAATATTCTTTAACAAAAGGCCGCATAGGAGAGAAGCTTCAGCGGTTGCGGAGAAATAATCATATAATAGGGTGTGGTTTTCAAGATGGTTTTGGGTCAAAGCCAGGATCCGAGTTACAGTGGGTTGATCTGGATCCAAGAGATGCTCCACGAAGAGCCGGTAGGATGGGAGCCGAGCTGCTGTGGTGTTCCCCATGGTATTACATGTGGCAGAATCTCCATTGCTTAATGCAAGGACACGTGTCCAGAATTCGTTGTATGATTCGGTACGAAATGCATTAGCATATTCTTCTCGGAGATCCAAGTCGGTCGAATGGTTCGGATTGTCCAGCCGGGTTACTGTAAGTCACAAACAACAATTTCATGAGATTGTAATTCATAGATAGCTTAGCACCATATGCAAATGTGGGATGCACTTATATAGTTTTTCCCAAGACCAAATTAATGTCCACTTTTATATCAGCCTCAACGGTCCAACTCACATATCTAAAAAGCATGTTATATGCCAGGCCCAACCCAGCTCATGGAAATCTTTACTCGGTGTTGCCGAAGTGGTAAAGAGGCAGGTTCAAGTGCCTCCACCCTATGCTCTTAGATTTAAATTTATTTTTTCTTAAATCTCACTAGCTCCTAACTCTCTAACTATTGCCAAGTAAAAAAAAAAAACCACCACAAAGCAATAATATGGACTAATAATATTCAACTTTACACCTCTTATGGTGAGTGTTCACAAGTCTTAACCCAAACTTTTAAATTTTTAGATTACAATAACCACTAAGCAATAATAATACATGAAGATAGTAATCATATGTAAATGCTAGTCCAGATGATATCATATCATGTACAACATACGGATTAATATTGGAATTATTGGACCATAAAGTTCACAATTATTTATCAAACAAACTAAACCAATATGATACATATTATGATCACACGTGCAAACAACCTTAACAAAAGAAAAAATATTGTTCATCGAACCACAAGTTGTTTGCTGCAGTTTATTATAGTTTTTCCATTTTTTTCGTGTTATTCAAAATCATAGAAGCATACCAAAAAATAATAATAATAAAATATCAATTGAATTCAATACCATTGCACGAAAACAATTTTTTGATTCGGACATTAATTTTGATCTTCATTCCGTTTTGCCAAATGCAAATTCCAACAATACTGCAAAGAACAGCCAACCAATTAGGATTCAAATTATATAACAATAACTAAGCAAAGAGAAGGAGATTAGAATGAGAAAAAGAAAGAAAAAAAAAGAAAGAAAATGGAAGAATGAAAATGAGATGGGTGATGAACATACCTTTCAATTACCGAGTATCGGAGAGGTATTTTAGGGTTTAATAGCTAAGTTTTTCTGATGAGTGTGGGGACGAACTAGAGGAAATAAAAGAGGACATTTATAACACTACAACGTTTTTTCTTGCTTTGGCTTGCAAGAAAAAGGAAATTTATATTAGTGGTTTTCATTGAGTGCTTGCAATGCAAGGGAAATACACACACATACATATATATATATATATATATATATATATATATATATATATGCTTTTGATACTTAGAAGTAAAATGGAAGATTCTCAGTCCATGAAAGGCAAAAATTGTGGGGGTGGGAGGTGGTTGCAACTTTAAAGACAAGTCATAGGATGATAGATTTGTGATGACATGATGACTTACTATTTCAGTTTCCAATATTTTCCCATATACTTGCATTGCTACAGTGCTATTCCATCTCTGATGGCACTTCTTAGTTATTAAAAACATGTCTTGCTTCAATTGTCAGGATAATATATACATACATATATACATATTTATATAATTACTGTGAGATAAGTATATATGTGGATGTGATTTTTGTTCGTGGTGAGAGAAATTCCGAGTGCATGATTGCGTCATTTCGGTCAATCACAAGTGATCGTGCAAGCAAAAAAAATTTTTAAATAAAGCTGATACATTTAATTACATGACAGGTGGTGATTGATCATGGCCATATAATCTTCGACCAAGTAATAATTTGTCGCTAAGTATTCAAATTCTCTTCAAGTGGCAGTTTTCCAATGCTTTAGAATCTTTTCATTTTGTGAAATGACAACACACCCAATTCTTCCGAAGGCCGTTTGTAGGCTCTTACAAAATAATTTTCACTGGAGACTTTCTAAAATGTTATTTATACTTTTCAACACATTATATTTATTTTTTAACAAATTATATATATTTTGCGATACAATAATTTTCAACACGTTATATCTGTTTTTTAACCAATATTAAATTTTATGTCTGAATCTGGGGGGTTAAAAATAAGCCTGGTTTTTTATTAGGCTCAAGATTATCTACGTTGTTCTGGGTCAATCCATTCATTCAATAGGCCCAAACCCATGCGTTGACCGAGTTTTACTCTTCTTGTTTCCCATGACTTAGGTCAGTGGCCCATTTCAATTTACATTCATTTATGTACAATCGTCCTTTGGGCTGGCCTTGGCCCAACCCATGGTCTACTCTCTCCAATCACTTTCGGGATTAACATAGGAGGTCTGTTTGGCCACCCCATCCAGTGAGTGTCTCTCTCAACCAACCACACCACTATTCAAAGAATTCAAAATATTTTATATGTTCTTTAGTTCGTCGTTAACAAAAATGTGTTCTCAAAAACAAAGTCAAGTAAATCCAAATACTCTTACGTGCGCTTGGCGGCGGGCATGGAGTTAAAATTTTGGAATTGGTGAAATTAGAAAAAAATAACTTAAAAAATTAAACTAAAATTTTTTCTAATTTCACCAATTTTAATTTCAAGGCTTCAATTCTATACTGTCAAACACTGCATTATGTTATATTCATTTGTATAGAATTGGTGGAATCAAAAGTAAAAAAAAAATATTTTCCTTCTTTGAAAAATCACGAAGGAATGTGGCCTAACATTATTTCTTCTCCCCTCTTATGTGAAATGTGTGAAAACGTTGTTGTTTGATAAAAACTGAAAATTAAGTACTGAAAATTTTAAGAATTAAATATTAAGTGTTAAAAGTCTGAAAATTTTAAGAGCCGAATATTGAGTGCTAAAGTTTTTAAGTGGTAATTAAAAAATAAATATTTATTTGATCTTTTTAAATTTTCAGCCTTCAGTGATAAGTGATATCAATATTACTTAATATTTTATCCAATTTTAAGCGGTACTTACCATTTTCAGTGATATTCATATTACGTTATCAAATGCACTTAATTATCTTAACGCTTAATTTTGAATTAAGTGATGAATTGAGTTATCAAACAACACCAAGTCTTCTGAGAGATGAATGGGTGTATAGGGCCTGCTTGGTTTGTAATTCTGAAAACAATTTTCAAGAACTCATAAAATGTAAAGTTGTTCTTAAAGAACAATATTGTACAATTTTGTCAAAACTTGCATTTTTACAACTGAACAGGCCCTAGTTTCTTGTGAAAAAAAAAAAAATCTTTTAAATCTAGAATCAGAATTTGACTGGCCCACCCAAACTACACCTCTACCTGGGGATGAAGATTGGCAATAAAGTAGAAATATGGGTCTTGAAACTTGGTTAGAACATGAAACTACCATACATGATGCTTTTAAAATAGCCTCACCTTCACTATTCCAAATACTAGTAATACAGTACTGGAAATACAACTTCACTGTCACCAGCATGTTAGACAGTTAATTAAAATTTATTTGAATTCTAAGCATAAGATTTTCAAGAGATTAACCTTACTTTTTCTTTCAAGAAATACGAAATTAAGCAGATTCTATATATTTCCTATACTCTCATTATCTCATATATTGTACAATGGGTTATCGATGAGAGTCGAACAGTTCAATGAATTCTAAAATGCTTCTAATAGATTGTATTTGACACGTGTATGACCAATATTCTTTAGTAAAAGGTCGCATAGGAGAAAAGCCTCAGTTGTTTCGGAAAAATAATCGGATAGTAGGATGTGGTTTTCAGGATGGTTTGAGCACTTGCATTTTTATCATTTTTATGGTCATTTTGACATTCATGCATTTTATTTTATTGTTGGAAATTATGATTTAAGTTGCAAATGTGTTTAATTTAATTAAATGTCATATGTTTATTTCATAAAGGGCATTATGGACTTTTTGTTTTACAAATGACATATATGGTATTTGATTATTTTATAAAGGGTAAAGTTGACTTTTATTATTTGAAATGGCATATTTGGCATTTGGTCATTTCATGGGGGTAGTGTGGACTTTTAGTATGCAAATGGCATACTTGGTAATAGTAAATGTGTGAAGGGTCTTTTAGTTATTTCATAGGGGCATGCTTTGGCTAGATTTATGCTTGACATGTGGAGGGATACATGGCTTCATTGTGTGTGTGTATGGTGACTATTGTATTTTGATTAAAATATTTTATACAAAATAACACAATCTGCATAAATCAGTTTCGTGCCTTTATTTTCTCCTTTATAGTCATTTTCTTGTCATGCAATTTTGGAAGCTTTATGTTAGGATTTTGATGGGGCTTTGTTAAGGAAAAATGTTTCTTGGGTTGTGAGGGTTCTTTTGATATCAAACTTAAGTCCATTTCTTTTGTTGCTGGGTTTGGAAAGTGGTGTTAAAAGAAGAGGGTTTTGGTTGAAAAAGAAAGAAGTGTTCTTCCATCTTCATCATTTTGGGTAGCTTTGATTCAATCCTTGGGAGGCTTTTACATTTTCTTGTAAGGGTTTTCAAGCTTCATTGAGGTAGGATTGTCTAACTCTTAATTCCTTTGCCTTTAGTGAGTTATTTTCTTTCAAATTTTGAATTGCAAAATGTATACAAACAAAACTGAAATTCTGTGCTGCTGAAACTTAATTACATGCTACTGTTTTGCTCAAAATCATGTAAATTCGTAATTTATCTTTTAGAGACTATCAGTCGAGCATTGAGATGGCACCTTTTGAGGCGTTGTATGGTAAGCCTTGTTGTTCTCCTGTTTGTTGGACTGGGGTGGGTGAGACAGCCGCCTTAGAGCCAGACATTGTGTTGGAAACCACTGAAAAGATTAAGTTGATTCGGCAGCGGTTGTTAACTACTCAGAACAGACAGAAAAGTTATGCAGATAGACGGAGATAGCCATTATCCTTTGAGGTGGGAGACCAAGTGTTTCTCAAGATTTCTCCACGAAAAGGATTGCTATGATTTGGAAAGAGTGGCAAGTTTTCACCTCATTTCATTGGACCATTTAAGATTTTGGACCGAGTGGACAATGTTGCTTACAGATTGACATTGCCACCCCAGATGGATAGGGTCTATAATGTGTTTCATGTTTCAATAATATGGAAGTATGAGCCGGATCCATCACATGTATTGAGTTGGGTTGATGTTGACATTGATGAGGATGTTTCTTACAAGGAGGGACCCGTTCAAATTCTTGACACTCGAGACAAAGTGTTAAGGGGTAAAACGGTACTCTCGTAAAAACATTACGGTGTTGAGGAGGCTACGTGGGAACGGGAACATGATATTCGTTCTGCGTATCCGAGTTTGTTTTCTTCCCCAAGTACGACTTGATTTCGGGGACGAAATCCTTGTATGTTAGGGAGATTGTGAGCACTTGCATTTTTATCATTTTTCTGGTCATTTTGACATTCATGCATTTTATTTTGTTGTTGAAAATTATGATTTAAGTTGCAAATGTGTTTAATTTAATTAAATGTCATCTGTTTATTTCATAAAGGGCATTATGGACTTTTTATTTTATGAATGGCATATATGGTATTTGATTATTTTATAAAGGGCAAAGTTGACTTTTATTATTTGAAATGGCATATTTGGCATTTGGTCATTTCATGGGGGTAGTGTGGACTTTTAGTATGCAAATGACATACTTGGTAATAGGTAAATGTGTGAAGGGCCTTTTAGTCATTTCATAGGGGCATGCTTTGGCTAGATTTATGCTTGACATGTGGATGGACACATGGCTTCGTTGTGTGTGTGTATGGTGACTATTGTATTTTCATTAAAATGTTTTATACAAAATAACACAATCTGCATAAATCAGTTTCGTGCCTTTGTTTTCTCCTTTATAGTCATTTTCTTGTCATGCAATTTTGGAAGCTTTATGTTGGGATTTTGATGGGGCTTTGTGAAGGAAAAATGTTTCTTGGGTTGTGAGGGTTCTTTTGATATCAAACTTGAGTCCATTTCTTTTGTTGCTGGGTTTGGAAAGTGGTGTTAAAACAAGAGGGTTTTGGTTGACAAAGAAAGAAGTGTTCTTCCATCTTCATCATTTTGGGTAGCTTTGAATTAATCCGTGGGAGGCTTTTACATTTTCTTGCAAGGGTGTTCAAGCTTCATTGAAGTAGGATTGTCTAACCCTTAATTCCTTTGCCTTTAGTGAGTTGTTTTCTTTCAAATTTTGAGTTGCAAAGTGTATACAAACAAAA